TTATAAAGTAATTAATTTATTCTTTTGTTTTTATATTTTGTTAATTCTTTTTTATAAATATTTTGTTTGAAATATTAAATAGAAATTACTAATGGAACTATTATTAATGTACATTAGTCGACATCCTGTCGACATAATAGGAAAAACTGCATTTTTTTTGTTATTTGGACCAATTTGGTCGACATTTAGGAAATGTCGACTGAAATAATGTAATTTTTATATTACCATCCATTTTCATGTCGGTGAGCCTCAACATCGACATATGTCGGGCGACATTAGCGACATTTGGCGACATTCGAAACAATGCATTAGACCTTCTTAACCCTCTTCTAGGCCCTTTAACTTGTAATATAGATCACTTCTCAAGAGTACTTCTTTTTGGAGAGAGGAGAGATTTCTCATTAATACTGCAGATGGCCTTTTCTGCACATGTCCAAAGCAATTCAATCAACTCAATTAAGCCTTATGTCAACTATATGGGGTCAGCCAGATTAATCCTGTTCCACCATTCTGCTCTGTCTAGTACCATGTGTGTTGTTAAATTATGGGTCCCTAAAGTAGTTCTCCAAGGCCCATGTCCTTTTTGGGCTATGTTAGTAACAATTTCTATTATTAGATTCAGGAAGAGTAATTGTCCTCTGAACACTTAGTAGAGTTAAAGAGTTAAAGCTATTTGATATTAGATTCCATACTGTAAATTATTAATGTTCAAAAGTAAACTGGTTGTCCAGATGATTTTCTGAGATTGAACCAGCTCTTCTGTAGTAGTATGCTGGGAATCTGATCATCCTATATTAACATTATTGTTGAAGTCAATTTTAGATTTCTTCACACATTTTACACATGACTTTGTATATGTCCTAAAAGTTTCAATTTACACTCCTTTTTGTAATAGAAATGTCAAGTTCTAATGAAATGACTGGATCTTTTCAAAATCAAGTAATCAACTGAAGTAAATTGTCCTGTTTTCAGATCTCCCTCCTGACAAGGAACCTCTGGACTGGAATACAAGGATGAAGATTGCAGCAGGAGCAGCTAAGGGCTTGGAGTACTTGCATGACAAAGCAAACCCACCTGTTATTTACAGGGATTTCAAGTCATCCAACATTCTGCTTGATGAGGGATTTCGCCCAAAGCTATCAGATTTTGGGCTTGCAAAATTAGGTCCTGTTGGTGACAAGACTCATGTATCTACACGAGTGATGGGAACATATGGCTATTGCGCTCCCGAGTATGCTATGACTGGCCAACTCACTCTGAAGTCTGATGTCTATAGCTTTGGTGTTGTCTTCCTTGAGCTGATCACAGGCCGAAAGGCTATAGACAACACCCGAGCTCCTGGAGAGCATAATCTTGTTGCATGGGTAATTTTTCTCTTTTCTTCTCACTGTTCTTGTACTCGTGTTTTTTACTTTGAAAAAACAAAATCTGATTACTTTTTGCAAAAGATTATGCATTTCAAAATTTTAAAATATATATATATATTCATTTTTCATCTCCTGACATCTGGGTTTACAGGCCCGGCCACTATTCAAGGACCGTAGGAAGTTTCCAAAGATGGCTGATCCACTATTGCAAGGAGGTTACCCAATGCGAGGACTTTACCAAGCCCTTGCTGTTGCAGCCATGTGTTTACAAGAGCAAGCTGCTACAAGGCCTCTCATAGGGGATGTTGTGACTGCATTGTCATATCTGGCTTCCCAAAGCTACGACCCAAATACAGCCTCCACACAAAGCAACAGGGTAGGTTCATCCGTTCTAAGAGATGGAGATGACAAAAGGAACCTCAATAGTGGAGCTGATGGCCTAGATGAAGTTGGGTGTGCCGGGTGGCATGGCCTACAATCCCCTCATCAGAATTCGCCAGATTTCAGACAGAGAGATCCTGCTAGGGGAATGAGTTTTGGTGCAGAGGTTGGCAGGGGGGAAACAAGTGGTGGGTCTGGGAGGAAGTGGGGCTTAGATGAATTAGAAAAGCAAGAATCCCAAAGAGACAGCCCTGTTCATGCCGGAAGAGCAAGGGAAACACCAAGGAATTATAACCGAGATTTTGATAGAGAACGTGCAGTTGCAGAGGCCAAAGTATGGGGTGAGAATTGGAGAGAAAGAAAGCGAGCAAACACTGCTGCAGGTAGCTTTGATGGTACAAATGAGCCACAATGAGGTGTTGTATAGCTTTCATGCTTGAACAATTCTCTTCTTTCAGAAAGCTCATCTCAAGCCTAGGGATACTACGAAAGGCAGGAATGGAATAATGCCAGATTCATTGTAACTTGTGGCCTTGGTAGACGGCCAGTCGTCTTGAATGGGAGAGGATAAAGGAATAGCCAAAAAAGAATATAGGTTACACTACACTACACATTTGGTTTGGGCGTTTCATTCCTCCACCCCTCCTTACCTTTATCTCTTACATTCTTGGTGTATGGATTTCAGAGCGTCATTTTTTTTAAACGCCATTGTTCTTTCTATACGGAGGTGAATTCTCACATTTAACGAATCCTTCTGTACAGGTTTTATTTTGTAGAAATTTTTTTTGCATGAGCATGGCTAACTTGTACATGGTGTTCCTTGATTGCACCAGCCGAACTCGTCTCGAGCCAGGCTTATTTGTACTACGAGGTTTAAATAGCATCATCTTTTATTTACAATAATACACATGCTATATGCACGTGTGCAAGAAATACTAGCAAATGGTAGAATAAATAAAATATGCATCCATAACTTAATAAACTTGTATTATCATCTCGTTAATAATCATGTAAGAAGTTACAAATTTAAAATATACCAAGTTTAATAAATAATGTTAAAATGTCATAATAGTAAAATTGTATTCTTTTATGAAATTACACATTATCAACAAGAGTTTTTATTGAGGGAGATTCCCCATTATTTATAAAACACATGCACAATGTTCACATGAGAGAAAAAAGGCAACATTGTCATTTCACACATAATTGTAAACTCCAACTCTCCAAGCCCTAACCTCAAATCTTCATTCATTCAACCTTCTACCACTGCAAACCCAAAGCGACAAAAGTTGAAAGTGGGACAATGAATGGACAACGACCAGAAACTCATCTCCAACTAATCATCTTTTCCAACAAGAATCACATACAAATGCAAGTTTGTCTTCCTTGCTATTTTTTACATTGGATCATTGGATGCTCTATATTTTCACCTTAAAAATAACTATTGCAACGGTCATCTCTTGAAAGACTACCTCCAACGATCATTATTTATATAATTTTTTAAACACAACAATCATCTCCTCTTGAAAGACTATCCCCAGCAATCAATTTTAAACACATCATTATGATATGACACATGTTTAATTTTATACTAAATGGGAATGGATTTGTAAAACTGATGTTAAGAAAAAGTTTGTTATCCAAACGTTATCTATGTTTTTTGTAAAATAAAAATCAGTTCTCTAAGAACAATTTACCAAATGCCTCTATTATTCCCGAGGAGAAAGAAGTAAAATTCTTGATCTACCAAAGGAATTTCTAAAAGAACAAAAACAAGTGGGAGCATTGCCAAAAAGGGCCTTGATTCCAGCTGCATGCAGCAAGATAATTGGGTAGATTAATTACATAGAAGGAATGGATCATTTGTACAACAGGCTAATGCAAATACCCACCCATTAACTAAAAGATGGCCTGCCACAAAATTGGGTTGCGACCACAATCTACAAAAAAGAAGCAAAAAATGAGGGCTGGGCTCTTCATGTGAACCTCCCATCACTGCTTTTCGCGTAAAATCCTATTTGTTGCATGTTCTGTATGTAAAATATACTGTAAACAATCTGGATGGAGGTAGGGTTCCTGTAAAAAATCATTTCCTCCTCCTTCCCTGCAACCATAAAGATCATTACCAAATAAGCCACAGCTTAAGCCAGCTTTGGTAACTATGCAAAACATTTAAAAGAGCAAAGGTAACATCATGGACCATGTCCATCAATCATGGAGTCCTAAAATCACGACAGAACAAATTTAAATACCGCCATAACACCATTCTTCAATATGTCCTCTTGTGACTTAAGAGGCCCCATGGCGCTAATGTTGCTCTTTTGACATCTTAAGGCAAAATTCAACTCTTCAAAACAAAATATGGTTTCTTGTCTTACTGAGCCTAGATAGTCATCCATCACTGACTGCTTCCTTTTCTTTAATGCTGATGTTGGACTCTCAGACACCGATCTAGCCATGGCCCGTTTTGATGGTGTCATGTTCTGGATAAAGAAGATGAAAAGAAAAGGCATACCTAGTTAGACATCATCAATGCATTTTTTGAAAAAATAGATTAGCTAAAAAAAGGTACAGCTAACAGAAAATTGGTGCAAACATGAATTAGAACGAGAGGATGAGAATTAACCTTGGCATGCTTTTTATCTTTCCGTGCTTGTCTCTCCCTCTCATCAAATTCTTGATTTTCCCTCTCTACCAACCGAATGAGAGTATCACAGCGCCGTGCAAGTTCTTGAGTAGTACGAGATTTTATAAACCAATCAAAACGGAATAGGGGAGAGGTGCGGAAAGCTGCTTTCAGCTCATCCCAGTTCCCATACCCAAGCTTGTGAACCATGCATAACTGAAATCATGCAGCTGACATAAGAATGGTTGTGCATACAAGTATATTGCAAAAAAGCTTGGCACTTTTTTACTGAAATTCCTGTGTTAGTACATATTCTTGGCTGAAACTTGGGGACTTTTCAGAAACCTCACCAAGAAACGATCACACTCTTCATTATACAGCTTCCCCTTGTTCTGACCATACTGAATCTTCAGTTCCAACCATGGATTCTTGTAGCGGTCTAGCTTCTTCCCAATAGCTTTCATAATCTCATCTTTCCGAGATATTCTTGCCTCCCCTCTTTCAATGTTCTTGATAATCCTGTCATAATCTGGATAGATGCAACAAAGGGAGCATGTGAAAGAACTTAAATGAAATAGAAAAATAATGGCTTAAGACACCTTGCCAAAAGAACTTGTTATAACTATAAAAAAGCAAGAGATGAAACCTTGAGCAGAAATTCTACATTCAATTTAACAGATGCAGGTTTCATATTTGGCAATTAGTATGATACTAAGCAAAATAAAGAACAAGTGTACGCAAGTTCCAATTACCATTTAGCTCCTTGTATCTTTCTTTAAAGACTTTGGCATATCTTTCAACTTCCTGTTCTGTCTTGCCTTCTATCTCAGAAGCAATACTTTTTATGTCATTCCGACCATACTTCTCGCAAGCCCGGATAAAAGTATTGAAATCTCTCCTAGTCCATGTTGAAAATCCCTAAATTTCAGCAACAATCAAGTTCAGAAAAAGGTTCAATCTTTACATTTCTTTCTTTTTTTATTTGGGGCATTGAAAGGTGTGGAGGATTATTCAGGAAGAGAGAACATTACGGTCTAAAGAACACCACTATAACAATAATGATCCACTCACCTGTTCTAATAGCTGTTCTTTCTCTTCTTGTTCTTCTGTAGTCAAGGGCTCCCCAACATCTAAATGGGCAATAGCAATATTAAAGGTCCAATTGGATATTAGAATCTACCATTGAATAACAGAAACGTGAATACTTAAAAAATAAAACGAGATGTACAAAAAAAAGTACAAACCCTCAGGCTCATCCCCATCACCAATAGTATCCTTCAACTGATTCTTTTGATGTGTTTGCTGAAAAACAAATGGAAACTTAAGTAAATCCTCAAACCATGGAAGCACGACTTGCAGACCAGAACAAAAAGAGAAAACAGGTGAATTAAAATGCTGCTGACCATGAGATAGCGAACTTCCTTCTCATAAAGCTCACTTAGCCTTTGTGTGTTGAAGAACTGGAAGTCATGCCTGATAACCCAAAGGTAATACAAATGAGTCTCAATGGCAATCTAAGCACCTACAGGAACTCACATCAAAAGACACTTACAACTGAGGCATACGAGGAATTCGTGGTTCTCTTGGTTTTGCTGGACCACCCTGACGCAATGCTTGCTTGAAGTACTCAGATTCTGAGTAACTAATAGAGAAGAATGACAAATTTAAGTTACAAGAGAGAAGATAACAAACAGGAAACTCAGATGCAGTTTACAACACACCCCCCGCCCAAAACAAAAAAAAAAAACTTACTTGCGCTTACGCTCTCGCTTTGGTGGCTCAATCCAGTTTTCACTAACAAGCTTCTTGAAGTCTAACTTGTTCTCATCCTTCATAATGTGGAAAAATGAATATTTTAGTGTAATGTAATACTATGATGTATGTCTCAAAACATTGTTATACAACTATTATTTGAGCAGCTCTTAGTAACTAAAAAATGGTAGTCAAAGAAATAGTTCCACCTTGCCATCATCAAAATCATATAGCTCAGCAGCTGTAAAAAACCAGATAAACATTATTAGGCAAGGAAATAGACAGTGATCAAGTGAAAACTCTTATTTATGAATCAACTTACTATCATCCATTTTAAACTTGATAGCGTCTTCTGTAAATTTCTTCATCTTGGCATCTAGTTCTGCTGTTGCCTCCTCTCCTTTAGCTATGATTCTATCAATATCCTCATCTGTGATTGTGCTATCCTTGGAACTGAATACCATTTCAGCGCCAAATCTCACCATTTGCAAGAGTTCATCCTTGTTAACAGCTGCACAAACATAAACAATAAAAAAATCAATTTACTTCAGACTTCCAGACTTGCAATAATAAAACAGGAAGCTTATAAAGTAAATATTGCTTACTTTTTTGTTCAGCTAACCGCCCTTGTTGAATCACTAAAGCATCAAGTGCAAGCTTTTTATATGCCCTCTCAATGACTTTCTCCTCTATGGTGTACTGAATTATCATGCATAGGAAAAATATAAAACATTACTGATATTTTAAATACAGAAGTGAAATCCCCATAGGCCACAAACCTCTGTGCAGAAGCGAAACACTTGGACCTCTTTCTTTTGACCAATCCTATGGGCACGGTCCTGTGCTTGCAAATCCACTTGTGGGTTCCTGGATTAAGAATATTAGAAAGATTACCATTGCATGTTTAGAACCATTATTGAATAAACCACAAGCACACCAAAACAATGGCTTACCAATCACTGTCATATAGAATGACCACATCTGCAGTGGCAAGATTAATACCAAGGCCACCTGCTCTGGTTGACAATAAGAAGATAAACTTCTCGCTTCCTGGTTGGTTGAAGGCCTCTATGGAAGCATCACGATCTTCTCCACTAGTATTTCCATCAATCCGACAGTACTGATACCCCCGGAACATTAAATAGTCTTCCAGAATGTCTAGCAGCCTTGTCATCTGAACAAAGAAAAACAAGAAGCACCCACCCACAAAATTAGTAAAGAAGATTCCCAGTGCAGCAGTGCTTATAAGGAGAAAGTGGAGAATTGAGGATAACACTCTGAACTGTAAGGATAAATGATCCCAATGACAACTATTTCTTTATGAATTGTAAACAATTTGGTGAAATCACATCATTTCTCTAAGCAATATAGACCTGTGAAAATATTAGAACCCTTGAGTCACGTTCTTTTAGCTTTGATAACAACTTGTCCAAAAGAACCATTTTACCTGCAAGATGGGAAATGATTATTACTGTTGAGTATTTAATTAGAGTCAAGGAACTTATGAAAGAATTATAGAAGGAAAGATTACCTGCATTTGTGATAAGATGTTCTCCTGTGGTGTAAGGTGGGCCAGGTTCTGCACCTTGGAAAAGGTATGGGTGATTACAACATTTACGCAATTGCATTGCTATATTCAGAAGACGCTTACGCTCTCCACCAGCATTAACAACCTCTAAGTCTTTTTGCAATAAAGCCCGATAGAACTGCTTCTGCAATTGGGACATCCCTACTTTAAGTATTGTTTCCTTCTTTGGGGGCAAGCCTTTCTCAACGTCTGACTTCAACCTTCGGAGGAGAAATGGACGGAGGACCTTCAAGATGCACAATTATCATTTATCATAGTCATCATACCAAATAAAGGAAAGGAAAATAAATGAAAGTTCAAATATGACAGCTAAAATTGTACCTTGTGAAGCTGTTGAACAACCTCCTGCTGGTCATTTTCACCAGATATTTGGAACCACTCATCAAAGGTTTCAGAAGAACTAAATATCTCCGGGAGCAAAAAGTTAAGAAGAGACCAAAGCTCATGGAGATTGTTCTGCAGATAAGCAAGATTGTATAGATATTAATACTGTACAGGAACATTTTGCAAAAGATGCCCAACCATCATCAAGCTCAATAAAGGCACTACCCTAAAATGTGATGACAAGGACTCAATGCAGTGATACAAGATAATCAAGATAGATGAAAAAGATAATCAAGAAGAGATCCTTAATACATTAAAATGTAGTTAGCCACATATAAAATCCAAATCTGCCATATAGAAACTTTCATTATATTTTTATCCTTAAAATGAGCTCCAATGTGAAAATTAATGATTTTAGACATAAAAACAAGCACCAAGCATCCACATGAATGTGTTTACCCCATTTTCTTCCATATTCTTGGAAGGTATATAGCATGTACCTATTTAAAAAACCAACCACCCTCCGGGCCAGTATCGCATTGACACAGATACAAGAATCATAACCTAACGTGTCCAGAAGTCTGACTTGGCAAGAAGCAAAAACAAGGGCTCACAGCCGCATCTATAAGAAAGTATAAACTACTAAAATAGTCCATACTTTTTCAAATTCTAGCATCCTTTATTTATAAAACTATAAAAATAAAAATAAAAGACCTAGAACCTTTGTTACTCGATAACAGATTCGTGTAGCCAAACCCCATATAGTTGGGGCAAGGCCGAGATGATGATGATGATGATGATGAACCTCAGTTACATGATAACAGTTTTTGGAAAAAAATGATGTTTATTGTGTATAGTAGCTATTTATTTATTTCAAAAATAAGCAAGTAAATTTTTAAAAGGCAAGTTCAGATTTCCCCCTCACAGAATCCTCCTCACCCATCTCACAGCACATTGCAGCCACACAATTGGGAATATTTCCCCTGCTTGTATGTTTTCATTCATGGGGAGATGTTCCAATGCACGGCTGCAAGTGCTGTGAGGAGGAAATCCAAATTCCAACATATCGTATCAATCAATAAGAGAAACAGAATAGCCCATGTACAACTAGGGCCGTACATTGGGAATATACAAACTACAAAAGTATCAACTGTATCATCAGACCCCAAATGTTTACAAAAAGATTTCCAAGACCAGAAAAAAGAACTATATTTCCTTCCTCTAAAAATGTTTTGGATTCACCAGCCATGAATGAACCATTCCTACTGTATCATCAGAACCCAATGCAGTCCAACACAGATTTCATCCACTAAGGAGATTCCATGCAACAGTAGGCAACACAGGCTACGCCAAAATGAACTATGAACTAAACCTAATTTAGCCATGCAATAGATATAATGGTCAATAGAGGTAGCATTGAAAAAGTTAGAAATGGTCATCACAGCCATCCAGCTAGCAGGCAGACCAACTCTGCCAAATGTTTGCAATATAGTAACACGTTGGAATCATGATCAATTACTCAATTGTATATCCAATTTAGACTCCTACTTTCCTTGACTAAGTTACAAAATCATGCTCATGTCAAATACAAAAGGCAGATAATAAGAGAAACTACCATCCAGCACATACTGCACAAAATGTATACATACAATACACTAAAGATATACATGCATCCATAAATAATTGGCTACCTGAAGTGGTGTCCCCGTGATTAGAAGACGGTAATTTGTGTTATAGAGTCTCATTGTTTTTGAGAGAAGTGAATTCTCATTCTTGATTCGATGGGCCTCATCAATAATAACATAGCGCCAGCTAAAGCGACGTAAAGTACTTTTTTCTTTGATGGCCATTTCAAAACTAGTAACACAAACATCAAACTTGCCAGCAATCAATAGGTTCTCACGTATATGCTTCTGTGTAATCAGAAACCAGAGTAAGCCATTAACATTATGGTTTTAAAAAGTAAAGCAACAAAGAAAGAAGAGAATATCCAAAAGGTGTATTTGCTTACTCTTTCATCTGGATTTCCTAGAAATTTTACTGCACGAAGAACTGGACAAAAGCGCCGAATCTCCTTCATCCAGTTGCCAAGAGTAGATTTTGGTGAAACAACCATATGAGGACCAGTGATTCCTCTAAACTCATGCAAATAACCCAGTAGAGAGATTGTTTGCAGTGTTTTTCCAAGACCCTAGGTCAAAGTTACCCCAAATTAATCCATATAAACTGGTTAAAGGCTGTACAAGAAAATCATGGTATTATATCAAACGATCATATGACATCAGCACTCATGATTTCAAACAGACCAGAGAGACCAATTCCATTTAGAAAATTTGATGGATTATATCCAAGGTACCAGTGTATCATATAATATTGTTAGAATACACAAACAAATCAGGGATATTTTGGTCATTTGGGTTTATCTATTTGAGAGTGAAAGGTCTATTTTATTTAAGTTTAAGTTATGTGTCCCATCACTAATGAGGGACAATATGGTCTTTCTTGTAACTATGTTATTGGAGATAAATACAAGTGGGTCGGCTAGAAGTGGACTGATTTTTTCCTAATCTGGCCGAACCCTTCTTCTCCTTCTTCTCTTCTTCTTCTTCTCTACTTTAACCTAGAATCGAATAGGGATTTTACAAATATCAAGGGTTATCAATACAGAAAATAATAGTACTTAGGATGACCTGTCAAGAGGTAAAATCAAAAAAAAATGAAAAAAGTGACTTTCCATCAAGTTGAAACTCTCAATACACAAATTTTGAGTATCAAGAGTATTGATACTTTGAATTATGATTATATCAACTAAAACATGAACAGCTTTTGGTCTTGGTACCAAAAATAAACACAAGAGAAGAGGATGACAAGGAAATCTAAAATGGCAAGACTAAATTACATCTGCATACCATCTCATCTGCAAGGATTCCATTTATGCCATTCTCATAAAGCCGTATCAGCCAGTTTAATCCAGCCAGCTGGTAATCCCTCAACTTCCCTTGAATGCCTACACAGGATAAAATTAAACATAAAGTAGACTAACACTAAAACAATAGCAATTGGCACAGCTCATGGAAAAACAACAAATGATGGATAAATATACCTCCATGGTGGCTTACTAAGATATACACATGCATATATTTTGTGGAAGACCTCACATTTGTGAGAGTATAAGGTTCCATGGATTGTCCAATACTACAGAATCTAATCTTTAAAATAACCATGAATTAATTTGGTGCAGCTTCAAGGAAGATCAATGAACCCTTGTGGACCTTATGGTAAGGTTCATCACCAACTCTAGAGCAATACATGCCAAAATTTTCCATTCATTGAAAGCAAAATCATTACTTTTCTCACATGTGCACATAACCCAATGGATGCCTTCCCTTGTTCCTCATATTTCAAGCAAAGTCACCACATTGCCCAAGAAGTGAGGGAGAGCAATGTTTTAAAAGATAAAAGTGCAAGGCACAAAAAAAAGCACAAGGGGCAATTTGTGCCCAAAGGTGAGGCACACGCTTTTTTTTTAAGCAAGGTGCAAAAATAAAAAATCAAAAAAAAATGTTAGAAAATTCAAAAAAATGTCAAAAATGCAAAAAAAAAAAATCAAAAAACATTAAACTTAACATTAATAAAAAAAAATATAAACTTCAATTTTAAAATAATGTTTCAAAAAACCTATTATTTAAAATTAAAATACATAAACATAACATGTAAAATGTATTCCAATGAAAATTTAAAAATAAAATCAAACATATAAAGCATTTTGAAGCATGTAAAACCCACAATCTCTTTTTTTCCTCAATTGCATTACTTCAAGTAGATAAAGTGATGTAAAACAAGTTTCTATTATTGATCCAAAAAATAAAGTGATGTAAAACATAATGCATTCCCAATTCTACAAGCCACCTTTGTACCACACCCCTCAAGGCAAGCCCAAACAATTCCATGTTAGGGTCTTAAATTCTTAATTCCCACATAAGAAATAATGATTTTATAACTTTAATTTCCTTTTAAGAAGATATTTTATTAAAATGAATGAATGAACAACATTAGCAAATAGGGGTTTTACTCCACTCTTGTGGTGTGGTCAGGGTCCAGGGGGGCTTTGGGCAAAAGCCCACAACCCAACCACTAGATTCAAAAAAAAAAGCAAAAAAACATAAAATTTTAAAAAGGCACACACCTGGGCTGAGGCGCAAGGCACATCGTGTCTTTTGAAAGGGCTGCGCCTAAGAGGGCGCATACCCTAAAGTGCACCTCGCCTGTGTATCTAGACACACCTTTTAAATCACTAAGGGAGAGTGGGAGGATTTCTGAAGTTTTCTGATTGAAATCTGGAACAGGAATTTAGTTGTTCTGAGAAAAAGTATGTGGCAAGCTACAGGATTTTCTTGATTTCAAAAAATCATCCACCAAGTTGTGGTTAAGTTTTCTGTACAAATCTAACTGGAATGCAAGTAAAAGGTGCAAAATGGGTGGTAGGGTTTCACTAACAGCTAATGAATCAAACATTTTTGTTTCCTTGCTGAGAAATTATGTTTAAGAGG